CTCAACGGAGCCGAGGGAACGGTCCTGTGTGTAATGTCAGTCATGATAGCAGGGGAGCAACACAAGACATACCCTGGTCATATGCTGGTAGTCCATGCATTCCAAGAGCATCATCTACGTGGATTACATAAGCACAACGCACGCCATGTCGATTTGCCAACTCACCTCCTTCAAGGTGTGTACTGGAAAGCATAAGATAATTGAGTAGCGGTCAGGAAGTTAGCGAAGTAGATGTACCAGGGATGTATATTATTTCGTCCCAAACCGGGTTCAAGTCTATGTGCGAGATGAGCGCCAAGCCAGACCACCGAACGAAGTAACCCACTATTGTTGACAACCTCTGTTCTGCCCTTCGTGACGTTGTTGACCTGCACACGCAAGTACGGGTCGCTCTGTCATCCGTAATCGTCAGCCAAGAACGAAGCACCCCGCTAGCGCCCGCCTACCTTGCCGCCCAGCGTCGCTTCAACGTTCCTGCGCCCCACCAGTCAGATGGAGTCTGGTATCAGCCACACCGTAAAACAGCACATACTTGACGTCCACCGCCTTGTCCATATGTAGCTTCACAATCCCAATCGGGGGCTTGTACTGGTCCGCGCCATGCAGGCTGCCCGCCATGTTGAGCGGCTTCCACTCCACCGAGATGCGTATCTTGCCGCTCTTGCAGTTGCTCAGCGGGAACCAGTCGCGCCCTGCCTCCTTCTTGCTCTCAAGTAGGTCCTCGAGCTTGATCGACATGAAGCCGACGACGGGGTCCTTGAGGAAGTCGCGGTCGTCGATCACCCTGATCATCACAACGGACGAGGCCTTGTCCGCGCACAGGAACTCGTACGCCTGCTCCCACACGGGCGCGTTCGTGTGCTTGAACAGCTTGGTGCTGAACACCTCGTTCTTGCTGTCGTTGAGGTACAGCTTGGCGAACGGGTTGAGGTCCCCGGAAAGCGACTTGCTTTGGTCGAGCTCTTTGGCTTGGTGGATCGTCAGGCGGACGATGCCGACCGCTATGAAAACCATTGAGTATGAATCTGTGGGTGTTCAAGGGCGACGCTTACTGGTATCGAGGAGCCCCTCCTTGCCTTCCTCAGCTTTGATGACGGGGAAGTAGGATATATCGTAGCGTAAGGTGCCGCGGTCCTTGCCGTCCTTGAGCAGCGTCGACTCGATGCCCTCGTGCGTCGCGTCCTCCTGCAATTGGGCAAGCTCGAAGCTCGCCGAGCTGAGGAGCACGTTCTTCCGGTGGTCGTTGTAATCGTACACACTCAGAACTAGCGACTCGTTGAGCGAGTTGACCAATATGAACTTGGTCTCCATCCACGTTGGGTTGTAACTGATAAGAATGAGTGCGAGAAACAGATAGACGCGGGAATATGTACGTGTTGGATTTATACTTGGTGACGGCAAGCTCCTCGCGGTTGTTCAGGCTGAGCGACACATACGGATCGGGGGTTCCGCCGCCAATCTTCGTGCCCTTGAGACCACGCGCGGATCGATCGTGACCTGGACGACACCAACAGCCGTGTCCAGGGGGGCGCCCGAGAGCAGCTGCTCAAGGTTGAGCGTAAATACATTGGGATCGTACATGACAGGTGCAAGAGTAGCGTGGGTCATCTCGCGGATAAAAGAGGACAGCCCGGGAATCTGAGCGGCAATCAGTTCTGGGTGCCGCGAAAGAGAAAACACTTACGTTGCCAATGTCGAAGCCAAAAGTTTCGCCACCGACAGGCTTGAGGACGTAGTCAATCACAGGCTTTTCCAAGAAACATATGTCGACGATTTGGACGTGAGGGAAATTAGACATGAGCTTCATGCGGATTCGCATCAGGCCGCTGAAGCTGATATCTTCGAGCAGAATGGGCATGGATGCCGTCGCAAGACCCTTGCCTACTCGCACGGAGAGCACAATCTTGGGGTTGACTTTGATCGCGACCTGGCGCGGAGTGAGGTCAGAGATGTCGTTCGGGGTGAACGAAATGCCCCAGTCCATCATGATCACGTCGTCGGGCGTCTTGGGGAACGTCCGGACCTTGTCGATCCGGGGAGCCTTGGTCCCGAGGGTGAATTGGGTTAAACGAAGAGAATCAAGGAACGAGGGGGTGTTGGTGCTCAGAACTTGGTCAACAGAAGAAATGATGGTGGCCGAAAGAACAGGTTCGTATATGAGCCAGAAGCGGTCCAAGAAATTGTTGATCCAGTCTGCGGACTCGTGCTCGGACAGGAGGCGGGTTTTGACAAGCTCGCGCTGGATGTCGTCGCGTGCGCGGCGGCGGACGCGCTCCATCGACGCGCTGTAGTACGTGTTGCAGAATGCGAGGACGATAAAGAGCCAGCCCCAGCCGAAGTTGAAGCGGGTCAAGAAATGCGAAGCGAACACAGCCTAAGTGTGCGTGAGTCTAGCCGACGAGCGGAACAATGGCGGGGACCTACGAAGACGATGAGGGAGGCGTTGTGGTACCACGTGCCGTAGAATTGCTCCCCGAGAAACATGTCGAGGACGCCCTTATCCTTTTCCTCGCCCTCGGTCAGGGGCACGTCATCAATGCCCGATGCCTGCCGCCAGCCGACGCGGTACCAGTTTGGGATGGCGGGGGCGCGGGGCCAGTGCACCGGGGGGCTGGGGCGTGTCGTCGGTCTCGCCAGCAACAGCGTTCTTTTCATCAGCCGTGTCTTCGACGGTGATAGTGGGACGACATTGGACTTGACGTTTGAAATTTGGAGTTCTGGGCAGAAAAGAAGTGAGTTTCTGTGAAGGGACTAAAAGAGCTGGGCATATACCGCGTGCGCCGGGACCTGAGTCGTTGTTCACGCTCTTGAGCTGGTCGCGGGCCTTGCCAGCTGCTGCGCCCTTCTGGGAGGGCGGTAGCTCTGGGTCGAAGGAGTGGACTGCAACGCTACCCTTTGCGGCGTCGGCCTGCAAGATTGCGTCGAGCTGCTTGTGGGAGTCGCCGTTTGGAGCACCATTCGTGGCCATGGCGTGGGGGATGGAGGAGAAGGGATGGTGGAAATGAGGCGAAGTATCAACGAACTACGTCAGTGGCTGTACTGCAAGCCTGGGTGGGGCGTGACGTACGGGCATGTGCCGGGCGGCGGGTGGGACGCATGCATTGGCCCCTCCACACAAGGCGGAGTGTCCAGCGCTACAGCGTGCATTGAACAATTGTATATACGCACTGCAGAATCACCGACACAAAAGTTTCGGGCTGGCGTCTCTTTCGGACACTCTGTTTGCGCATGCGTGGCTGGGGCCTTGAGCACGCACTTAATGCCATCATGACCTCGTCCTCTCTCCGCGACCTGTACAACGATCCGTCCTCCGCGTGGTCGTTCGTCCAGGCCCTCCCCGCATCCTCAAACTCTACGCCCGCCGCCCAGTCCACCTCGGCACCCGCCTACCAATGGTCTTCCCGACCATCCCACAACTCCATTTTCGACCTCTCGCCGGAACTCGCTGACCCGTCAGATGGCATCGACCCGATACATCTACTCAAGACTCTGGCTGCCTCGGCCATTCTGCAGTACACCAGCAGCGCGATTGCGATGCCATGGGAAGTCGGCAAATTACTCCTTCAGGTCCAGTGGGTGCCGCGCGATGCAGGCGATCTTGACCCGTCAGAAATGGCCGACGACGACGACGACGACGCTGTACGTGCTTTCTGTCTCGTCTGCTTCTTTTTCCGCTCATTCTTTTTCCACAGTTGAGCGACTCGTCAAATGACAACGACTCGTACTTTGCGGATCCAAATTCCACACTGCATGCCGGCTATTCGGCGCTGCGGCAGACCGACGACCAAGGCTACGTTGTCCGTCGCTCTGTTCTGGAGGAGGGGACACGACCTGAATACATCATCCCGGTAGGCAGCGCCAACGGCGTTTGGGGCATGATGCGACGGGTAGGACGTTTCCGCGGCGAAGGCTGGCTGGCTTTGTGGAAGGGTATATTAAACTCTGCCGCTCTTGACTATTTTTCACCATTTTTGTTCAGGTCTACTGACGTCCTGCATAACCGAAATCCTTTCCTCGACTCTCCAGCCCATGGTCCGCGGTCTCCTGCAAGCCATGTTCCTCCCAACAAATGCCCTCTTCCACCAGCCGCCCATGTTCATCGCCGTCCTCTCCCACCTCATTCTTGGCTTTGCCCTCTCCCCACTCGACCTTGTCCGCACGCGCCTCATCGCGCAATCCTTCTCTTCTCGCCACCGCGCCTACACCGGGCCCCTCGACGCGCTCTCTCAGATCCTGCGTGACGAGGGTGGCCTCAAGGGCATCTACCTCCACCCACACCTCCTCATCCCAACGCTCATCGACAACACGCTGCCCCCGCTCGTCTCATTCGTCCTCCCCGGTCTGCTCGCGTCGTACATCGGCGCGCAGATCACCGAGGACGCGAACCCCATCGCGTGGGGTGTCGCCGAGCTCGCGGGCAGCTGCCTCGGCCTGCTGTCACCCTCCCGTTCGAGACCGTGCGCCGTCGGCTGCAGGTGCAGGTGCGCGGTGCCGCCGCGCCGATCAAGGGCTGCGTCGAGCTGCGCCCCGCGTCGTACAACGGAGTCGTCGACGCGTTCTGGCGCATCCTCACCGAGGAGCGCTCGGACCTGCCGATTTCCGCGCAGAAGCGCAAGCGGCGGGCGAGCAAGGGGAAGGAGCGCGCGGGGGCGGAGGAGGATGTCGTCCTAGTGGAGGACAAAGAGGGTGAGAGCTGGATGAAGAGCACTGGCATTGGGCAGCTGTACCGCGGGCTGGGCATGCGGCTGGGGGCAAGCATGATCATGTTCGGCCTGGCGCTGTTTAGCGGAGGCGACGAGGCGGATGGTGGGTGGGCGGAACTCTAATCTAACAGTATTTCGGCGTCAACAATGAAACGGCACCTTCTCATTCAATTTGCCACGCATATTATTTCCAGGCACGTACAAGTGAGCTTGAGCTAAAGGTTACACCTTCGCAAAATGAATCCGGAGGCGCTTGAGCGGATACTTATGCTGACATAACAATATGGAAGGCAAAAAAGGTCGCACCGAGATTCGAACTCGGGTTCCCAGAATACCCCTGTCGGATTTCAAAATCTGATGTGATAACCCCTACACTATGCAACCCCATTAGAAGCTCGAACTTATGCCCCTGCAACATCGATGTAAACAATAGTGCATTCGTAAGCATGACTCCAAATGCGGTGGTCAGCAACGACTGCGTTTGTGGCACGTGCCGAGTTTCCCAGAATAGCGAACCCCAAAGGGTTTTCCGATCGCTATATCGTGTGCGTTTGCCTTGTCCCCATGGCTGGTATGGTCTCGCCGGCAACGCGCTCGCTCCTACTGACTTCTCGCCCAGAAAAACCAATATCAGTTGTGCCTTTGCTCTCCAGAGCTCTTCACAGAATACGCACCACGCCCCCTCGTATAATTGCGTCACCTCCCACTCGTGTGTTCTTTGCCCCAGGCTGTCCTTCCCACCTCACCCTTGGTATTAGAACCCCGCAGAGCCGCTGTAGCACTCATTATCCGGGTCGTGCCGTCCCCGGGCGCAGCTTTACCCCCAGCGCCCGCTAATCCATTCACTCTCTCTGAATTCTTCGAGCTTGACTGGGTCAATGACCCAGGGGCACGCCCCGAGATTCTTTTCCTGCAGCGCGAAAATCCCGCACCAGAAGATTCCGCCATGACCAGGATTCGCAATACGCACGAAGCGCACGTCGCATTCCCCGGCGGGAGGACTGAAGCGGATGACGAAGGCGGCCTCTATACCGGTACGTCAACCCCGCGAGTCCCCAAACACTTTTTCACGGTACCGCACGCCAGCCATGCGACAAACGTGGGAAGAAATAGGTATTGACCTCGCCGAGCGGGATTATACCTGTATCGGACAGCTGGATGACAGAGAGATAACGACGTCGTTGGGGAAACGCCTCTTGATGATCCTTTCTCCGTTCGTCTTTTTGCAGCTGACTCCCCAAGCTCCACCCCCTGACCCCGCGGCATCAACCACCCTTCACTGGACGTCCCTCGCATCCCTCGTTTCAGCGCACGCTCCGCCGAGATGGTCCACCGTCACTGTCGACGCCGCCTCCCGCCTCGCCCCCAAACACTCAACAGCTCTGCGCCTTCTCGTCCAAGTATTGGTCGGCAGCATGGAATTCCCTGCCATAATCGTGCAGCCCTCCTCACTGCCATCCGTTACCCCAGACGGCAAACCAAATATAACGCACGACGTCCTCGAAAAAGGCTACATATCCCAATCTAATCGACCACAGAAACTGAAGCTATGGGGCTTATCTTTGGGCATGACGCTTGACTTGATGTCATACATGGTCCTCCCTGCGCCGTCCTCTACCCGCGACAATTCAGAAGCCCACAAAGCCAATTCGGGGTCGTCGTCCCCCATCTCGCCGATGATGCAACTGCCGTATCAGACTGGCGGAGATGGCATGCGCATGGACGTCGTTGCACCTAGTTTAGCCAGCGTGTTTCCCAGGTTTTCTTACCCTGACGTCAATTTCTGGATCTGGTATGCTTGAAATCAGCCTGGTACGACATCCTCTCATTATATCACAGGGTGTTTGGCAAGAGATATCGCGAGGTCGTCCGTGGGTGGGAAGCTAGTGTGAGAGGAGGAGGCACCAATGACCGGCGGTCTGTATCCTTTCTTTCTTCGCCATATTCCGTCTTTTTTTTACGGCGTTCAGAATAAATTGGTCCGGTTCCGCGCTCAGCACGTTCTACGCCGCAATCCGCAAGGCTCTTGTAGTGGTCATCGTCGCCCGCGCATTGGGCGTGCTGTTCGGAGTGGCCTTTGCTGGCTGGTGGATATTCGGACAGTAGGTCAACGCACGACGATAGAGTATTTTATATATTCAGGACACGTTCTCATTCTGGTCAAGCTTTGTGTAGTTTCCTTTCTGTAGCTCAACTTTCACGAAACAATTTATATGTGGATGTACGTATCACTACTAAAGTGGCAGGCCGCACACTTCACAGTCCGTTCCGCCGTGGCGTTCTCGTACGTGCAGTGCGGGCAGATTCTGATGCCAGCACTGGAACTTCCTCCATCTCCGCCACTTCCACGCGCCGCAGCTTCCTCGGCTGCAATCTGGTCGAAGACCTCCTGCGGGATATCATCGTCCCTAGCCGGCGTGTGTTGAGTCACTGCTCAAAATTAGACAAGACAGAGGTTGCAAGAGTAACAAAATACATACCACCACTCTCCCGCGTAAAGGTCATCAGTGTGTTCCAGCCTTCGGTGGCTAGCAGTGGGTCCAGTTGGCTCAGGTCCTCCATCAAGTTGGGTGATGTCACTATCCGCATCAACAATTTCATATCCTCCTAAAACGGTGTAAAATAACTTGTTGGAGCTCGACAAACAAAATGCGCTCACGTGAGAAAAAAATTGCGTCGTGTCCAGAAATGCGACAAGATGCCAATCGCTGAGCCATGCAGCGAGCTCTCGCCGCTTGTGGGCCTCACCGGGTTTGGCGGTTCGGCTGTCGTGGATGTTGTGTGCATCCATTGAGGCAAGGGTGCCAATTACACCTTCCACGCGCTGGTCCTCCAATCCGGGTCGATTTTCGATGGCGAACCTTGTCGATTGGAACAAGGGCGACGGGTTTTGAGGGAAGCCGTGCGTTACCTAGAAGAGCATCAGTCTCTGGCCGCTGGAAACGGAAACATAGAAACTGACGTTGACCAGGAGGTATTCGACAGGGAAGGCAGGCTTGGCCGTTTTCTTCACTTCAAGCCCGTACTCGTTCTTGAAGGAGAAGAAGACGTCGGGCACATATCTCGCCGACCCTTGCGTCCGATCTTCCTCCTTCACCCGAACAATGCCAGGGTCAACCTCGCCTCGATCATGTCTGCCTCAACCATAGCACAAGCTTGTTCAGAAACTTGGTACGCCGCAACGTCTACCTGCCCGTCTTCGGTGGCAGTGAGAATAGCCGTCACCAGTCTCGACGCAAATTGTCCAGTCGGAGAGGACTTTGAAGGCGTCGGGTTTGCTTTTTGCATCGTAGCAGCAAAGATGGCCTCCAAGGAAGAGAGGTAAAAGGAACCAGGGTGGCGCTTGTACACGTTCTTCGTTCGGTCTTCTTCGGTTGGAGTCAAATCGGTGAAAATGTAGCCGACAACAGTCAGCGGCGCCGAAGCGGATGCAGAAAGCTCTCTGATACGCGGCTCCTCCTCCCATGGTAGACCGAGGGTAAGGCCATCGAGTTCGCCTTCTTGCGGAGGCTCGTATATGGCTTCGACCACGGCTTTGACACCTATTGGCACTTTGTCGTATGGCTGATATCGTCCGATCAACCAGCCAAACCGTTGGAAACCCGTCGACCGCCAAGCATGCAGAAATCGGTCGATGATCTCAGTGGAAGCAATCTCGAGATGGTCGACCATCCGGAAAGGCTGTGACTGCAAGGTAATGGCAGAAGGCTGACACGATGTGCAGATGCCGGCGGGCCAGGATGGGTGGCCACTGGGACATGGCACTTTGACCTTGTACGAAAGCGGGGTGAGTGGAGGGAGAGCGGACACGGCGGATGAGGCGACTTGGGACTGAGTTGTTTCAGGTATGCGTGGTAGGATAGGTGCTTGATGGCGTTTTCCTTGTGGTACAAGGCATTGTAGGGCTCAAGAGGCATACAGTAGTCGCACATTCCATTTGTGGCGTGAGTACAAAACCGGGCGTCGCGTTTGCGGGGGATTTTGCCGTCTTTGGATCGCCAGTAAACATCGACTGGATCTTCCTTAACGGATTCCCAAATCCGTGTCGTGTCGGGGACGGCAGTAGTGCTCGTGGTCGAAGAACTCGACGCGGGGCCCGTCGTCGATCGGTAGGTCACAAAAACGAGATCAGCGTGACTGGAAATAAGTGAGACGCGTTCGCAACGCCGGTAGGCGATAAACATACTTGAGACCGAGACTCTGCAACGATCGACCTTCAGGCTAGAAAACTTGGCTTCATTGCCCCGAGGTTGATTCGATATGGTGAAGCTCAATGGATCGGCGTCTGGCGCTGTTTCCAAGATCTTGAAGGATGGTTAGTTTTGCGTGCTTGCCTCTCTGTTTTACGAACCTTGGCTAACAGCTCCGAAATGTCTGCAGTGGGCGCCAGATCAAAACGAAAATTGCCGTCCTTAGACCTGACTCGGAGAAGCTAGTCACAGATTAAGCTCAGTGGACCGTTTTGTGTGGCAGAAACACGTACCATGGTGGTGGTAAGAATAAGAGTCTGGAGAGACGCGTAATGCTGACCCAATCAAGCGGGAATACAAAATCTAATCGTACAGCCACAGTAGCAGCACAAGCCATGACATCTGTATTGGAGCTGTTGAGTCTCCCAGCCAATTCCAACGGCTTCACAGCTCTTCGGGACTCAATCATGACACGGAACCCTCCTCTCCCCCCCACAAGGCTCTCCGCCGCGATGCTGATGTAGATTCGCCATCTGCTGCGAGAGCTGCACACAGAACAAACCAGCCAGTTAAGATCCAGCTCATCGGAGACTTGCCGAATCACACAGCCAACAATTCACTACGATCCAATATTTACCAATGCATCAAAGTCCTCTTGACGAAGGAGAACATGCATGCTTTGCCAGCTACTTACGAGAACATATACAACGATTGTCTCTGGATGGTTTGCGTTTTGAACCAGGGAGAAGGCATCTACGAGAAACTACGCTTGGAGTTAGAGCAGACTGTCAGCCGTCTCTCCAAAGAACTCGTCTCATCGTCCCACAAACTCGCTGCATCGGACGAGAAGAACGATTCGGACAAGGCGGACAAGGTCTGGATCAGGGAGTTCGTGAAATCGTGCGAGTGGTTCGAGACGCAGGTGGTATGCGATCCCATCCATTGAAATGCGTCGGATCTCTTACTTGCTTTCTAGGCCCTGCTCCAATCTCTTCTCACCTACTTGGATCAAGTATACATCCGGCGTGCGCAGTTACCCAATATCCGGTACATCACAATATCACGAATCCCTTTCCGCACTAAATTGTCTCTAGCCAGCTCGCTTTCTCGTTTTTTATCAAGGGAATATTCGAAAACGTGAATCTGATGGAAATGCTCAGACGTAGTGTGAGCAATTTGCTGTCCTATGAGCGG